GTCCCTCCCTGACTTAGATTATCATTTCCTTTTGTGAGAATTTCATTGAATAGTCTCTAGAATTTGAACTTGGTATTTTGCAAAAGCTACTTTCTTATCAATGACTGCTCTATGGTATTACTCTTAGTTTTGGCAATTGGTTGGACCTTTGTTATCTTCTTTTCTTTGTCCTGATCTTTTTAAACTGGGCTTCTTAATTTCTGATGTTTCCTTGCTTGTCAGCAACTGAAAAGCACATGGAATTCAACCGAGTGAAAATGGAAAGTTTACTGAAATAGTGGTGGGGGTGGGGTGCTCACAAAATCATTAAGCCCTCCAGGGAGGGCAAGAAGGTAGCTGGGCCTTAAGGGGAGCCAGAACTGTTAGGAATCTGTCCAGCTGTATGCTGTGATTCTCTCTTGCTGTAGGCCACTTTCTCCATGTGGTGGGGACAGGAAACACAGCTCCACACTTTACAGCAACAGGCACCAGGAAAGAGACTGACCTGGCATTCTTTGTGATTCAACCCCACATCCTAGGAGAAGGTTCTAATTAATTAGCCCACCCATCTTGGCTTGATCTAGAAGTTGTCCCATTTGCCCCACTGGGATCTGCTATGACACAGGGCTAAGAAGACCTGACCTCACTTGGGACTAATTTCAGCTGACCCATTTTGGATTATTAGAATCCTGTCTGGTAGCTGATTATTAGGTCAGACCGGCTGCCCTGAAGAAGCTGGTGTCTTTCTCGGTCCAAGGCAGCTTCTCTGTTGGCCCCCTGAGCTTCCCCTCCAGCCTGAGGGGACATCTGCAGCAGAACTCTGCGTATTTGCAAATCAGAGGTAGTTGCCAATCCCTGAGCCCTGTGTGAGGGAAGCTCAAGTGACTTGTTTCACCACCTGCCGGTGAGACTGCAGGTGACCCGCTTGGATGTGTCTTTTTCTGTTGAAAAACATTACCATTTTACCATAGCATGATACTTTACACGTAGAATGACAATAACTAACAATACCAGACAAACGTCGCTTCTTTTCAAAAGAATGGAACTATTATCTTGCATATCAGTTCATCTAGCTACTAAAGGAAAAAAGCCCCAAAGAAGAAATAATACCCTACATTTATGCCACAAGTTTTTCAAAGAGATAATGTGGGAGGCTAAAGGTCACTGTAATTTTCTTCTTACAAATGCTTTTTGATGTTATTTTTCTTCAGAACAGTAGAATAGCCAACCACCTGGTTCCCTCCAATTATGCAAAATTACTGAATTTAAAAATCAGGGTTTGTTTTTCTCCTAGACCTACAAGGGTTTTTAATTTGTGAGGGGACAGCTTTTTTTGTGCAAAAACATTTGTTTTTGAAATGTTTACACTCTGGTAACTTTGGAAGGGATTGGCTTCGTATTTCGTTAGTTGTGCTGTCACTTTGCTTAAATTAAAATGCATTTATTGTTCACTGTTTGCAAGGCAGTGTTCTGTGCATACTGTGAGGTTGCTAGAGGTGAAGATTTACTTTTGTAAACCTAGCCCCTGGAGGACCTGGCCACATACCCATGACCTTGGACCCATTGATGTGGGGTCCAGAGCCAATGATCAAGAAAGAATTCCTGAGACCTTTTCAAAAGCAAACAGGTGCTTTCATTATACTACGGAGACAGGGCCTGTGGCCAGAAAGAACTTCCCTTTTGCTGCTGTATGAAGCTAGTGGTTATATGTTTAGTGCTCAAGGGGGTATGGGAGTATCAGATCATAAATGTTTCTTTGAATTTATACTCATAAAACTACTTTGGCGAGATTTCTCTGGTGGTTATCACTCAGCTTGATATTAAGTATCGGTGAGATGTACAGGCAATCATACCACGACCCTTTAAGAATGTAGCAACCAGTATGTATTTGAACCTTATCAGCACTATGCAAGCTGTAGGTCTGCCTTACTAGGCTAAAGGTGAACATTTTTCTGCTTCTGTCCCTCATTGCAATGAGCCAGTTGGAGGCCATCACAGCGGAGTTGGGTCATGGTGAATTCCACTCTGATTCCACTATACACATTCTGCAGAACATGAGCTCAAAGGAGCATGTAGACATTCCACTGGAGTTTGTGCCATCAGTGGGTGAGGGGGAGATGTGAATCTCAGTTCCTGCATGCCTCTGGGTATAAGCATTTCTAGGGTTTAAAGGTATCAATTTTCCATACAACGGCTTCTGAATGTCAGCCAGCAACAACTTGCAGTGTTCAGCAGAAGAAAAAGCAGTCAGTTTTAATGCTAGAGGGAAAGCCCACTGTTGTGGACTTACTGTGGGACAGTATGACCATCTTCAGCAGTGGCCTCATGTCGGATTTTCAAGAATAATATTGACTGTTGGGAGATTTTTGTGTCTTACGTTGTATTTAGAATTTAGCCCTGATGAGATTTTGGGGTGATGATGGGGCTCATGGGGTTTGGAGCTGACGGCCAAGAAAGAATTCTTTTTTTTTTTTTTAACTTTTATTTATTTTTGAGACAGAGAGAGATAGAGCATGAATGGGGTGGGTCAGAGAGAGAGGGAGACACAGAATCTGAAACAGGCTCCAGGCTCTGAGCTGTCAGCACAGAGCCTGACACGGGGCTCGAACCCATGAACTGCGAGATCGTGACCTGAGCTGAAGTCAGACGCTTAGCCGACTGAGCCACCCAGGCGCCCCAAGAATTCTTTAAGACCTCTTCAGTTCAAAAAAGTGATTTTATTAAAGCATGGGCACAGGACCTGTGGGTAGGAAGAGCTACACCAGCTTTGTGAAGAATGACTGGTTTTATTCCGTGGAACTGGGGAGGTAAAGTCAAATGGGAGGACTTTGATATGCTAAAGAGGACTCCTAAGGCACCTGAGACCTTGCTATTATCATTTTAAGATAGTTTTTCCCTCTGGAAAAGCATTAAGACAGTAGGGAGTTCCTGGAGAAATGTTTTACTTTGCCTGCCTCAAGCATCTGTCAGTGGGCTGCAGGTTATAAGGAAATTTAATTTTACCTGCCTTTTCCTTCTTGCTTTTGTTCCCCATATCTCAGTGGAAGGATGATGTTGGGGCTCCAGGAAACTGAGTCTATAGGTTTCTGGAGATTAGGCTATTGATAAGATTGCCTGTTTCTTGTAATTCACTAAGATATTTGTAAACTGATAGAAACTCATGTCCTGCATGACTGTGAGTTCTATCAGTTAACCATTTGTTTTGTTTACTTTGGTTGGGGGGAGCCAGGAGTGTCTAAGAAATATAACACATATCCCACCTGGGGGGAGGGAGTGTGCTAGCTTGTACTTTGCTCCTAGCCTGCCTTATGCTCCCTCATCAGCCCCCACACAATGTGTGATTCCACTGAAATTAAGACATAAATAAAGGTGTGTTCCGTTTTCTTATACAGAACGGAGCATTTAATCCTAACTTGTGTGTTTAGGGAAAGTGGCAGGGAGGAGGTGGCATTTGTGGAGAGTTTTGAGGGAAGAGTAGGCTTATGAGAGGTGGGCATGGAAGAAATGAATTTCTAGTTGAGCAAACCACATGAAATGATAGTAGGTTGAAATAATAGTGAATATTCTAATAAGGTTAGAATTTATGGGCTTTGGTAAGAGTTTGGGCTTTATATGTTGTGGAAAACAGATACATCATGCCCAGGAATGGTCAGGTTGCGATCCTGAAGTTTCAAAATGGCTCTATATTATCCTCCTTACCTCTTTCACCTTGGTCATTACCCAGGAACATATGAGAAGAGGTGGTCTCTTTCTGGGGATAGCCACATGTAATCATCAGATGGCCTTACCAAGATACATGAACTAGGAGGAAGTAGTTAGACCATCAGCCCATTGTGCTGTTATTTTTTTTTCCTACTGATTGATTGATTGATACTTTAACTTAAATACAAGTTAACATATAGTGTAATAATGGTTTCAGGAGTAGAATTTAGGGATTCATCACTTACATATAACACCCAGTGCTCATGCCAACAAGTGCCCTCCTTAATGCCCATCACCCACTTAGCCCATCCCCCACCCAACACCCTCCAGCAACCCTCAGTTTGTTCTCTGTATTTAAGAGTCTCTTATGGTTTGCCACTATTGTGCTGTTATTGACATATGCATTGTGTATGTTAGAAATCCAGTAATGCAGTTTTATAGTTATTGGTTTATGCCATCTTGTCTTTTAAAGTAAAAATTAAGAGAAAAAACAGCAAAAGTGTGTTTATACAGTTTGTATATTTACTCACATATTAACCATTTCCAACCCTCTTCATTTCTTCCTGCCAATTTGAGTTAGCATCTGATGACATATCCTTTTAGCCTGAAGGACTTCCTTTAGTATTTCTTATAGGGCACATCTGCTAGCAACAAATATTCTCAGTCTTTGTTTACCTGAGAATGAATTCATGTTATCTTCATTTTTAAAGGATAGTTTTGCTGGTATGGAATTCTTCATGAAACAATTTCTTTTGGCAGTTTGAATATGGCATCAGTGCCTTCTGATCTTTATTGTTTCTGATGAGAGGTTAACTATTATTATTCCCTGGTATATGATAATTTTTTTTTTTGCAGTTTTGAGAATTTTCTTTGTTTTTGATTTTTAAACACTTTACTAAAATGTGTCTAGCTATAGATTTTTTTGGTGTGTGTTTATTCTAGGCTAAGTTTCATTGAGATTCTTGGGTAGTTAATGTTTTTCATAAAATTTAGGAATTGGGGGGCTATTATTTCTTCTTATTTTTTTCTGCCCCTTTCTCTCTTATTTTGGACCTGCCATTATGTGTAGGTTAGCTTGCTTGATGTTGTCTCATAGGTCTCTGAGGCGGTCTTTTATTTATTCATTTTTTAAGTCTATTTTACAGATTGAGTAATTTCTGTTGCTCTGTCTTCCAAGTTTCTTGGTTCTTTCTCTTGCCAAGTCAAACTTGGTGAGCCCATCTAGTGAATTTTCTGTCTCAGTTATTAGGTTTTTCAACTCGAGAATTTCATTTGGTTCTTTTTTTTTTTTTTTTAATGTTTACTTATTTTTGAGAGACAGAGCACAAGTCAGGGAGGGGCAGAGGGAGAGGGAGACACAGAATCCGAAGCAGGCTCCACGCTCCGATCTGTCAGCACAAAGCCCCGCGCAGAGCTTGAACTCACAAACTGAGAGATCATGCCTGAGCCAAAGTTGAACGCTTAACCAACCGAACCACCCAGTGCCCCAAACTGTGTACCGGTCTTGAAGCTTACTTAAAAAATTTTTGTTTTACATTTATTCATTTTTTGATAGAGAGCACAAGCGGAGGAGGGGGAGAGAGAGAGAGAGGGAGACACAAAATCTGAAGCAGGCTCCAGGCTCCAAGCTATCAGCACAGAGCCCGACACGGGGCTCAAACTCACAAACCGCGAGATCATGACCTGAGCCGATCGCTCAACCTACGCCGGATGCTTAACCGACTGACCTAAGCCGGATGCTTAACCGACTGAGCCACTCAGGCGCCCCTTGAAGCTTACTTTAAAAATAAATAAATAAATAAAACTACTAAGATTTAGTGACCATTTCTTGTATCATTATATACTCCTATAAAATTTAATTTTTAAATGGACTCGTAGTATATCAGTAGTATATATATATAGATATCATTAATTTATTGTTTATTGTTGAAGTTCAGATTTCTTCTATTTTGATCTGTCATCTCTTCAGATTACTTGAAGAGCACTTGTTGAAGTCGATATGAGCATTTTCAAGACCTACTATTTTCAAACTGACTCTTCCATCCAGCCCTACCCCAGTTTAGAGTTTCACCAGCAGTATATAAAAGAGCTCATTCTAAAATAGGCATCGTCTCTAAAACTGGATTTTATTAAAAAAAAAAAAAAAGTAACTTTGCTAATTTTAGATTTTAAATGTGTAATTGCTATTTTATTTTTGTATTTCTCATTTTGTCTTTGTATAATTTTTATTTTTAATTAAAAATTAATTTAAATTCATTGTCATTTATCACCTCACAGATCTTGACAGTTTTTTAAAGCTTCCCTTAATAAAATAGAAATGGAAATTTTCTTTTCTTCAGGAGGAAAGTTCTATTAAGCTATTATAAGGATTTATTTCTTTTGGCTTTAAATAATGAATAAGCTAGACTGAATTGCGTTTACTTGTGAATATATATCATAATATATTTTAAGCCTTTGGATATTGATATGTACTGTTTTGTTACAATTTGGTCACATTTTTCTAAAATAACGTTGAAATTCTTATTATACTTCTGATAATCACATAGGCTTGAATTGAAGGGTGTTCCCCTAATGCTTACATTTGGTAGTTTTATTACTAAACCTGGAAGCTGGAAATTGACCAAACTCTTTTCCCATAATTCTGGCTATATTTAATCCCAAATTCACATCCTAGAGCCATCTGATCAAATGATTCTGGTCCTGAAAATTTATTAATTATGAGAAGAATCCCTGTAGTGTTTCTATTCCTATAATTTTTTCATAGGTATATGTTAAGCAGCATTAGTCTCAAAAACAGTAAACAAATTATTCAGAAGCTTTAAGTTGCCCCAGCTCTACTACATCTGAAGGACAGAATTGTGTTTTGGTAAATAGGAGTATATCATTCATTATCAGCTAGCATTTATATTCATGTTACTTTACTGTGATCCAAGATCTCAGACCAAAACAAAATTCCAAGAACTGAGCTTTTGTGTTCTTGGGAAGCTGTTTGTGGACTTTTAATCAAAGTATGAAAATTCTTTTTTGATTTCTCCTTGGCTGTTAATTTCTGAAAACCCATAATATTTATCAAATATAATGCTCAAATCCTCCTTAGACTATTTCAGCAAAACACAAATATAATTTCTATTGTAGTACTCTCCTCTACAACAAATGGACCTGCTTGTCTGCTACTCGGTAGTTCTGGAGCATATCATTGAAGAATTATGGTGATTAACAGTAAACACACTCAGGGGCGCCTGGCTGGCTCAGTTGGTTAAGCATCTGACTCTTGATTTCAGCTTAGGTCACGATCTCATGGTTTGTGGGTTCGAGCCCTGCATCTGGCTCTGTGCTGACTGTGTGGAGCCTGCTTGGGATTCTCTCTCTCTCCCTCTCTCTCTGTGCTCTCCCCCGCTTGTGCATGTATGCTCTCTCTCAAAAAACAAACAAACAAAAAAACCAAAAAACTAACTTAAAAGTAGTAAACACATACATGGGCTTTAAAATGTTGATGGATATCAAAATATTCTCAAAATTATTCTTCAGGCCCTTTTTGTGGTATCTCTTCACCTTATTCTTGGTCATTTATAAGTTTTTATTCTGTCTGTTAAAGAAAATTTACTTGGAATGTATTATTTGGAAAATACCCACATATTGGGCCCTTTGATTACATACCCTTGCCATTTCTTGGATCTTGTACATTGTTAAGTTTTCTTATATCTTAACTGATGAAAGGTGCATTAGTAACTATAGGGGGACCACTGTTTCACGTGAGAGGGAGTGGGAGCTCATGTGGTACTCCTCTATTCTCTGAGCTTAGTGTATGAATAGTGGTACTGTGTACAATGTTTAGAAACCTACCATCTTGATGTGATTCTTTTTATAAACCTATTGAATGCCTTGGCCTCTTGTGTCCTACTTCTTATAAACAAGTTAATTATCAAAAGAGGTGATGGTTTCAGGGACTGAACGCATATGTGAAGAGCATGTGGTGAAAAGGAAATGGGTTGGGGGTAGATCCAATGATTGAATCCACATACTTGATAACTAAAGTTTTAAGATACTCTGGAGCCCATCTCTAGAATAAAAATTCACTTAGCATATGTACGTGAGTTCTGACAGGACTTTGTTTTTGCTTAGGAGGCAGTTTTGAAAAAAAATTCATACATTTTTTTGGGAACAGATTAAAGGAGGTTTTGGTTTCCATAGCTTTAATAATAGGAAAATAGCAAATGATGAGCAAATTCTAATTTGTTTGAAGCTCTCTATTGCTGGTCATTTCTGTATCTCAGTGACACTGAGCATGATGGTTTATTTGCAAGGTGAGACTTGTTCCTGATTTACAGTCACTTGAAGTAGGTGGTATACAGATGGGGGAGAATAGTTTTTAGAAACAAAAACATAGAAATGAATTTGTAAGTTATGAAGTTCTACTCTAAATATCTCCCTTGTTGAAAGGGCAGCAAAAACAATGAATCAGGGCAATTGAATGAAATGTGTGGTAGCTAAAATCTTATTTATGTGACAGTAGACTGTTGTAGAGTGGAAATAAGGAAAAAATTTATAGACATTCTTTTAGGATTGGTAATTGTATGTGGGAGATGATTTAGGAACCTATTTGAATGAAGGTTTATGACAGAATTTTACAGAGAACCTGAAGGTGGTCTGGGAAGGGTTGATTCTTAAAGCCATATCCATAACCTTGGGGAGAGGTAAAACAACTGGATTAGGTAGAAACTGTTTCTCTCCAGATACCGTATGTTTTCACTCTTACATGGATCCTGAGAAACTTAACAGAAGACTGTGGGGGAGGGGAAGGAAAAAAAAAGTTAGGGAGGGAGCCAAACCATAAGAGACTCTTAAAAACTGAGAATAAACTGAGGGTTGATGGGGGGTAGGAGGGAGGGGAGGATGGGTGATGGGCATTGAGGAGGGCACTTGTTGGGATGAGCACTGGGTGTTGTATGGAAACCAATTTGACAATAAATTTCATATTAAAAAAAAACTGTTTCTCTCACTTCAACAAGACAGGGTTATACAGTTATACATCTTGGCTAAAAGTTCTATAGTAAGATTTTGCCGACATGAACATAGCTGATCTGGGAATTAAATACTCACTGATGTACTACTTAATGAAGCCTGCCAACATTTCTGGAAGATAGGTGCAACAATATTTATATTGCTGTCTTTGTAGCTGAAATTTAGGCAGTAATGGTAGATTATAATAACTTTTAAGATTTTGGTGCAAGAAATACTGAAACATTAAGTCGTATGTTAAATGACTATTCAATTAATACTTGGATGGCAGTTTTAAGGAAATCGTAATGATTCTGTTCAGAGTTTATGAGCCTTAGTGTGTAGATTTTTTTTTTAATGTTTATTTATTTATTTTTGAGAAAGAGAGAACACAAGCAGGGGTGGGGCAGAGAGAGGGGGAGACACAGAATCCAAAGCAGGCTCCAGGCTCTAGGCTCTGAGCTGTCAGCACAGCCCCTGACTCAGGGCTCAAACTCATGAACCATGAGATCGTGACTTGAGCTGAAGTCAGACACTTAGCTGACTGAGCCACCCAGGTACCCCTAGTCTGTAGATCTTTAAACTAAGAACTTTTAACCTTGTTTTTAAGTAAACTGTGAAGTTGATTTCAGTACTCTCACCGTTCCCCTTCTAAGCAATAGGACGAGAGAGGAAACCTTGGGCTTAAGGCCAGTAGCTGGTTTCTCTGCTCATTAGGGCTCTTCATAATATTCTGGTTTTCTCTCCTCTGAGCATGTGGTGGATGCAGGTCCCTTTCTCCTGAACTTAGGAATGTCCATGTCACTTGCCCTGTGAACTGTGATTATGTATTCCTTCTTGGCAGAAGTGACGTGTATCACTTCAGGCAGAAGCTTTAGGAGTGTAGGGGAAGAAAAATTCTCCTGTACCCTCTTTGGGGCTCTGGCTGGGCCTAAGAAACTAACATAGGATTAATAGGAGAACTTACATACATTTCATTGAATGTCTACACATATGTGGGGTCCTTCACAAGAAAACGAAGACCCAAGCAAGTGACTAGAGCAGGAAGCTTTTCTATCTTTGAGGCGACAGTAAGTTTGTAAAGTATTGACAAGACAGAAAGGGGTTTGGGCTCTGAGTAGTAAATGGTCAAGAGGTAGCAAGGGTTTTTTTTTATTTAAAAAATTTTTTTTAAGTATTTACTTATTTTTGAGAGAGAGAGAGAGAGAGAGAGAGAGAGAGAGAGAGAGAGAGCACGCAAACAGGGGAGGAGCAGAGAAGAGAGGGAGACACAATCTGAAGCAGGCTCCAGGCCCTGAGCTGTCAGCACAGAGCCCATCGCGGGGCTGAACTC